ATAATATACAAGTTTCACTTTTTAAATGGAATTACTGAAATCAATCTACTTTTTCATGATATTCTAATTTTATGACCAGCACCTGTATATATTGTATGAAATTGTGTTATATCAAACTGGTCAGGGATTATACAGGAATGAATAACTCAAACTGAATGCTTTTTAATGCTCTTAGAAATAATTATAATGCCACCCGTACCATTCGACAGGCTGCAGCCATGTCCCGAATTCCATGTTTTCCAGCCACTTTTGTTGAAATTTGCCCCCCCAATTCTCTAGCTTTTTCTCCGACTCAAGCTTCTTTTCTGAACATACAGCTTTGCGATAAACTGAAAGCAGTTCCACGCAAATATATGGTGATATAATATGTCTGACGAAATTGTTTTTATAAACATTCTTTTTAATAAAGCATTTTAAATGCCACAATAAACACATTTAATGAATTTTAATGCCAATTAAGGCCTTAATTTAAAAAATATTTGATTTAATGACTTTTATCGATTTTTAATGACCCGCGGAAACCCTGCTGGTCCTATAGTCCATCTATTACATATGGACTCATGTAACGAAAGTAATGTCTCCCTGGGATTATTAAAGTACTTCTGACTCTGGTTCTTTGTTGATGGGACAGGTGTTGTGAATGAAACGGTGCCCAGCTTGAAAGAGCTCCTGTGTGTCGCTGAATGTGAGCATTGATGACTGAAAGACATCTTCTGCCTTCATTTATCTGTTTACTACAGTGTGTTGAATTCATGTTAATGTGGATTTAAAGACATTTCAATTAGTGGAAAAAAACTACAAGGGGGAATATAAAATAAAAAAAAATTAAATTTGGCGACCCCCATGCAGTACCTCTGTGGACCCCCTAGGGGTCGCAGACCCCCTGTTGAAGACCTCCGCTGTATAGCACTTCTAGATGAATGCAAACTACATCAGGAAAAATACCCAATACACAGTTAAAAACACTCAAGAATGGCTAAGAGGAAAATGCTGGACTACTCAGAAGTGGCCTTTTATGAGTCCTGACTTAAATCCTATTAAGCATCTTTGGAAGCAGCTGAAACATGGCGTCTGGAAAAAGCAGCCAGCAGACCTGAGACAACTGGAGATGTTTGCTGATGAAGAGCGGATAAAAATACCTGCTGAGAGGAGCAGAAGTCTCACTGACAGTAACAGGAATCATTTAATTGCAGTGAATTCCTTAAAAGGTTGTGAAGAAAATATTAAGTAAAGGGTACCGCCGTTTGGTCTGTTTCATTAGTTTATTTTATCCATTCTGTTGAATCATGGTTGTAAGGCAATGTCTGCAATTTCAAATGACTTAGGCGCTTCTTAAAGGAGGAAACTGCTTTTAATGATCCTCACACATCAAAGCAGTAAAAAACTTAAAATTAAAACCTCTGGTCTACCTTTGTTATATTTTAAGGAAGATGAGTTTTTTAGAAAAATGCTGCACTCCGTGTTGGTCTATCATTTATGATCACAGAAATTAGATGAATTTTTGTGCCGTTTGATGTGGGAAACTGTTCTTGCAAGGAGCAGTTAACATGTTTTAACTGTTTGAATTTTAAACATCCAGTTTATTTGTTTACCAAACCCTCCAAACAAATCAATATAAAGGGGATATGTCCCCATAAAAAAGCCTCAGCTGTACATCGGCTTTATACATCTTGCATAAACTGATGAAAATGTGAGCTACTCTATATGTGTATCTGTTTCCATGGAGTCTGGTTGGTTTGAATGTGAGTGGGAGGAAGTGACAGCAAGCAACAGGAGTAAATAAAGAATGAATCACGCATCAATGAGATGAATGAGGGAGTTTGGAAGGATGAGGGGAAAAAAGGACGATAAAAAAATAAAGGAATAAAATAATGAGGTAAACTGATAATTAAACTATTGGCCTGTCTGTTAAACTCTTCTTTAATTGTTTACAAGATAAGTTAAGCATTAAATGCTCCGTCATTTTAAATCGTTTCTGCTACATCTCACTCCAACAAAGGTTCCCACGGTTTTTGAAGAGAAACAGCCCCACAGCACCATAGATCTGCCACCTTGCTCAACATTAATCATGAGCAGCTTTTCTATAGTTATAACTGTATTTCTACACCATACTGACCTGGAGCATATTTTTTAAAATAAAAATCCTCAATTCTAATTTAATTTTAGCAAAAGTCCCAGTATGTTTATGTTTGTGATGGTAGGTCAGAAAAGGCCTCTACTGCCTCACTTAACTGGTTGGCATTTATCGTTGCTATGGAGATCTGGTCCCAGGATGCCCCTCTCTGGTGCAGCTCGGTAACAGTGAACTTTGAAAGTTTACACTTCACGCCTCATGCTGCGTGTTTACGAGACATGAGTCCACTGCAGCCTGATGGCCACTTATTAAAGGGCTTGTGTCACGTCATGTTTATGGCCCAAGGCAACAGAAAGTCATGGGTTATTAATCAGGAGATCCTAGAAACTCTATTTTAGTTACATCTATTTCAAACGATTGTTAGGGGTACAAATTGTGCGTAAAAACAATTTCTTAACTCATAACTGATTTAATTTTGATATCTGACCTAAGAAAAAACTAGCTGACAACAACAGCTTAACAACTGCCAACCAACAGCTTAACAACTGCCAACCAACAGCTTATTAGTCGAATACATCTCTGTTTGGGTCTGGATCTTTAAACTAATAAGCTATTGCAGAACACAAATCAAATATCAGAAAATATGTACAAGAAAATCTATATAATCAGTTTGGACTTACAGGTTCCCAAATCCTGCTCTTCTTTCTCCCAGCTGCCCTCAGCCTCTCCCTGACTGCTCCACATACACTGGCTTGGTGGGCCGGATGCTCTGGGTAAACTGGGTTAACACATGAGATAAAAAAGAAAAAGAGAGGGTTCCTGTTAGTGCCTAACAACTGGGGAATACTATCAATAAATAAATAGATCAGTGAATAAGGCAAAGGAAGACGAACCTCTCCTTCTTTACCTTGTGCTTCGGACACCTCAGCGAGAAGTTGTCTTCATTTAGAGAACAGTCTACGGGACAGGAAAAGGAAAGCAGTAATTATTAGGAAACCCCTGCAGGGCTGCAGAGAAAAAAAAGAGTAGGGCTGCGTTTCATGCCCCTCCTCACCTGCTTCAATAGCACACATGTAGTGGTAGCGAAGCGTGCAGCCTTTACTGTAGCAGCCCAGCGTCGAACCGACCATCTCGCAGAACGAGCAGCACTGATGAACCAACGCAGACGGAAAAAGAAAACACTTCTCAGAGACTAATAGTTTTATACAAAGCCGTTTGCTGACATTATAACTAAAATCCCTTCCTATAGATGAGCCGTTTCTTTTACAGAATAAACTGATGACTTTTCTCAGTAGTTTTATTAGCATTCAAGTAAAATAGAAACCCTGGCTGGGTTTATAAGTATGATCCAGAAGCTTCAGTCAAGTCTATGACTCTCAAGTCTCTTAATAAATTTTGTACCAAGAGATTTTCTATATAGACAAGGTTTTTTTTATTATTAATGAAACCAGCTTAAAAACTAAAACTTAAAAAAAAAAAAAAAAATTTCAAAATGAAACAGATTTTAAAGGGAGTAAATGCAAAAGTGTCTATTCAGGTTGGTTCTTTAACAACTATTATATAACACAACAGCAGACAGAACCGGTACTGAAGCTCTTCAAGGTTCACCATCTTTCTTTGCTTCTCAAAACCATTTTATTTTTATAAATAACTGACTTCAGTTTTTATTGTCAGATTAAACTTTTTTTTAAATAAAAACGAAATTATTTAAAGGATTTTCTTGTTCCACTTTAATAAACATAAAAAAGTGTTTTCTAGTGTACAATAACTTGTTAATATGCCCCCATCTTCTTTTGTTTTTTTAGGGTTAGGTTTCAGTAAATCAAAAAGCAAAATAAGGAGGAATAATGAACAGAATAAAACTGAGTTAAAGAAACAGTATTCAAATATAATAGTTAAAATGCTAACTATTTTTCAGAAATTCAATTTCTATCTTTTAAATTTTCTCTAATATCAAAGATTGTGAAGGGACATTTCAGAAAACAGTGAAAATAAACAAATCAAATCCATTCACAAAAGAAAGCTAAACATATACAGCTGTTACTCACTGTCTCTCTGGCGCCATCTAGTGCCTCCTGGAGGCCGTACAGTCTTCCGTTGACGAGGTACACACCGCTTGTCCACACTATACATCCTTCATGCACCCACAGCTCCTCTGGATCCATGGGCATCTGTGGCAGCTGTGCAAGTTGTGCCAAGGGTCCCAGGGAGTCCAAGGCAGGGGGAGGGGGCTGAAAGGGCAGGGAAGCCTTGCTGTTGGATGGCACCATCCTGGGGGAGTCATCGCTGGACTTGTGTCGCCTTTTAAAACGCGGGTGTGAGGTCAGCTTTCTGTGCTGAGGTCGCTGCTGAGTGTCATCCGTCAGCTGCTGAGGATGCTTCTGAACCTGCTGCTGCTTGCTGTCAAGGTCCGGCTCCCTCTTAAGCTCGGGGATGGGACGCATGTCAGGGTTTTGATCCCAGGTTGAAGGCGTTTTAACAGGGTGAGAGGTGCTGCTGAACTTTTCAGGCGTATGAGTCATCATCTTCATCTCTTCTGAAACGGGATAGGCAGTTCTGTCTGCTGGGAAGGAGCTGTAATCTTCACTCTCAGAGGACGGCTTGTTGAACTGAGCAGGCCGTGTTTGTGTGGCTTGGAGTGTACTCAAAGCGTTCGTGTCTAAATTTGGTCCGGTTTTGTTTGGGCCCGCGGTGGCCTGACACTGTCTGATCTGGGGCTGGTTCTTTGGGAGCTTGGCGGCGTATTCGGCTGGATAGTACGGCCCATAGAGATCTCCGAGATGTTTGTAGTTTGCCCATTTCTGACACAGGCAGCAAAGCAGGCGGCCTGAATGACTGGTCTCTGTGATCACAGGCCCTGTAACAACGTAGCCGGATGAAGGAAGCGCTTTGCCTGACTGAAGTGTGGTTTCCACCTCATCTGTCTCCCTTTTCTCTGACTCTCTGTCTCTCCGAGATAACTGAGAGGAAAGAGCTGAGGTTAGGAGTGAATCAATCCCACCGCCTCCTGCTCTCCCCGCCACCGCACCCCGCTCTCCTTTCATCTTGTCGTCCTCAGCGTTCACGATGGTACACACTGCTCCGATCTCAGGTACTTTTTTCTCCACATGTATGTGAGGAATAAAGAGGTTTTTTCTGTTTGGATCTGTGCAACTTCTGCTTGTGCCAAAGGTCCCCACTGCCCCTAAAGGCACGTCCAGCTCAGTTTTAGACAGCGTTGGCGGCAGCAGTGGGGCCGCAACCGGTGCCCTCCTCCTTCTCCTCCTCTGCCGCCCCCTCACTTCAAGTGACTCCCCATCAACTTTCGCCCCCCTGCGTCTGCGGCGCGCCTGCTTCACCTCGATCTCTGGCTGTGTGTCCTCACTTTCAACATCAGCTTTTACCGCCTGGGCCAGAACCGGGGGAGCTATCGGGGGAGTGACTGCATTTTCTGACACAGTGGGTGTGGTGGGGGTTGGTGTGTTGCTGGGGGGCTGTGTTGCTGGTGGGGTGGAGGCAGGCGGTGGGGCTGGAGGAGTTGGTGTAGTTGGAGCCGGGGGAACACTCGGAGCTGTGCTCGGCGGCTGGACTTGAACTTGAGCTTGGTTCTGGGGTTGCACTGGGGGTTGGGTTTGAGCCCGTTTCTGCTTATTGACGCTTCCAACGGGCCGGCCCTTCTTCTTACCAGATGGGAAATAGCCCTTAGGCACGACGTTCTCTAACGGCTTGGAGTCCGTCGGTGACAGACTGGACCTTCCAGAGGACATCTGATGCCTGTTCAACATGTGGCCTTGGTGGGGCGGGGTGGTCCCGTAGTAGTCGCTGCCAGGATAATCCTCAAATCCCATACTGGATTCTTGAAGTTTCTGTCGAAGGAGGTTAGCAGCAGACTGCTCACCCCTTCGAGTCTCCAGCTGCTGGTAAGTGTTTGTAAAATGCTGAATGTCTGACAGCGCAGAGGAAGAAGGAGGCGGTGAACCCTGAACCGGGCGGGGGAGAGGTGGGGGAGGAGGCAACGGGCCAAGCAAAGCAAAGTCCTCCTTGTCACCAGATGCAGATGCCACAGAAGCCCCTAACCCAAAGTCAAAATCTTGCTGCTTGGCTTGAGTCGCCTGGTGGGATTCACGGGGGAAAGAGGGTGGGGGTAGAGGCCCAGTTTCATCCACTCCTCTGAATGGAATCATGTTATTTAATGAGTGACTTTCATCCATGTAACTATCCTCCCCTCCTGAAACCCTGGGGAAATGCAGCAAGTCTTGGTCCTGTGACTCATTAAATGTTGCTGTTTCTGAGTGCAAGAAACCAGGATAATGATTTGACTCCTCATCAGTGGAGCCCGCTGGCTTTTTAATGTTTGGAGTGATTTTCTGAACTATTGCCTCCAACTTTAAGCCTCGTCCTTTTCTGGCGGCCAAAACCTTAGTGTTGCCACCTGATGGAGACAGTGGCTGTATGAAGGTGTTCTCCCCTGGCTGTGGGGAGGATAGCCGAGGACACGGAACCTCACAGTTGGATGAGTCATCGTCGTTGTGATGGCTGGGTTCTGACTGAGCTCCAGGGGAGTGATGTGAGTTTGGAGCGGCTCTCTGCTGAGGTGCGTCCTGGAGCAGTCTTTTGGCAGGAATGGGAGAGATAAAAGAGCGAACCCTTCTTCTTAACATTAGGGGATTCGTGTCACCGGAACCTCCAGCCTTAGTCACACGTTGTGCCGGTGGCTGAGTGGCGTTTTTTTCTGCAGGAGGCTTAGAAGAGATGGGTGGAGGAGGTGGGCAGGGGTGTTTGGCTTCCTCCAAAGCTCCTCTAGATGCTTCCAGTTTGGCAGCACTGTGGCCATGAGTCATTGGCGTCTGAACGTGACTGTGTGATGCTACTGGGGGAGGAGGCTGGGCTCTATAGAAGTCTCCCTCCCTCATCCGTGCACCCCCTCTGTCCGGATGCGTCGACTCCCACATTTTCATGTCATAATAAGGATTTTGATGATGCACTGATTGTGTTTTGCTTGTTTGTTCAACTTGCATGTCAGCCGGTGGGATTAATCGCTGTCTCTGCTCCGATTGGTTAACCTTGTGTCTCCCAGGAGAAGCTCCTTGCTGCATCATCATCTCCTTCGAAGGCCTGTTTATGGCTTTGACCCAGTCGCTCATGTCGTGAGGATGAGGGGGGCCACGTTGGTGAGGAAACATCTGAAGCTTACTGGTAGATTGAGGCTGTGGAGGTAAATGGTGGAAGGGATGGTGTGAGGGAAAATGCAGATTACTGCGTGACATCACATTGTCTTCCCTTGAGTCTCCGTATCTATACCCAGGAAATGCACCGCCGCTGCCAGACGATAGATCGACTCCATGGAGATATGAGTGATGCCTTGTTGGCGAGGACAAAGAGGTCATGGTCACAGGGTGGGAGGGCATGGGGGTTATATCTACGGCACCTCGCCGGTAGGGGTCAGCGCTCACTCCGCTCGATAAATGTGAAGTTTTGGAATGATACCCCACCTCGGACTCACTGGCATGATTCTCATTTTGCAGATTTCCAGACTCTTTAGGAACATTTTCTATTTTCACTTGTTTTTCTCCATCATCCTTTTTACAGAGATCACTGGGTGCAGCCGAAGAGGAAAATGGCTGCTGAATCACGGAGGCCCCGCTTTGACTTTTCTCCCGTTCTTTTTCCCTTTCCACCTCCCTTTCCCGCTCCGGTGTGCCACGGCGGTTCGGCGACACGTCACATATGACTGATCGCCGTTCTGACGGGGCAAGCGTGGAACCCGACGATTTCTGAGGCTCGTTTTGAGAAGTTGGGGTTAACGGTTCGGGCTCTTGCAAAAGCAGCTCCTGTACGTTAGATAAAGTTTTTCTCTGTGGCATAGAATAGTCAGATAAGCTGGTATGTTTAACCGGAGGGTGTTGGGAATCAGCAGTCTGTGTTATATGGCTGTGGGAAACACCCATGTCAGATTTTTCAGTATTTTGTAGAGTATTGATATTGGATACTTCTGATTTTACTAGGGGCTTAGTGTCTGAGGTGAAATCCGAATCTCCTCCATGTTTCTGATTTGTGGACTTTCCGATCTGAGCCGAGTAAGAGGAACCCTCAGGTGCTCCACTCTGTATCCGAGTGCCATCTGTCGTGCCAAGTGAATGTCTGCCTGGAAACTGCTGTTGGGCTTGGTGACGTGCAGGGAATGTTTGCTCTGGTCTACCGTAGCGTCTATCTAAATTGTAACCCTGCAGAACCTCTTGCAGGAGACTCGGGAACTGCTGCATCTGCGAGTTCTCCTCCTGAGCTTTAGACCCCGCCCCGTGGCCCCTCTTCACCATGGCCTCAGAACTGGATGCGTCTTTTGGAGTGTAACCAGTTTGCGAGTGCTGGTACCCAAAGTACCTAGGGTTTGTTTCCATTACTGTTCCAGCCCTGGCTCTGTTTTTCATGGATAAATCTGAGCCATAAGTCGATTCTGGGTAGTTGTATTTATGCGAAGCAGAATGTGGAGGATTGGGAGACCTCCCACTGTTTGACCTTTGATGATGGGACGAATACATGCTAAGATCTACGCTCTCCTCCCCGTTATGACTGCTCATCTTTTTCAAATAAGAGAGTGACATTTTCTCTTCCACACAGTTGTCTTGGGGATGCTTACTTTTGTCAGTGTGACTTGAAACAATCACACCAACGCTGCTGACATTCTGCTGCTCCTCTGAAGCGTGTTTTTTCCCCTCCTTGTTACTGTGCGACTGAGATTCAGAGTGCAACATACTTTCTTTCTCCTGGCCATTTTTTGCACTCGCTCCTCCATCTTGTTGCATTTGGCTGCTGACCTTCTCTGTTTTCTCAGCTGCTGCTTCGCTTTCCTTTTTAATTTCCCCACCTCTGTGGTCACTGTGTGCCAAACCAGTTTCTGGGACACAATTTTGCATTATGGCAGAAGGAATATTGGGGGAGGGGGATGAGGGAACAGGAGGTGCTGAATGTGAAGTCAGGCCACCCTCAGAGGATGGAGATGCTGCTGATGAAGGAATGGTAGTTTCTTCTGTTTTAGCGTCTGTGACGGCTGCTTCTTTCGATTCTGCATCAGGGACAGATTTTTTAATATTACATCCCTCTCCAGTCTGTGTTTGGGTTGGAGTATAGCCTGCTGCCTCAAACCCTGTGCTCGCACCATCCACCTGCCCTGCTCTCCCAGGCTCCCCCTCTGACAGCCGCTCTTCTCGCTCTACTTTGGTCCCTGATGGAGCTACGCAGGGCATCCCAGAAGAGTCATCCTCAGCCCCTTCACTGGTCCTGACGTCTTTCGCTGCGCTGCAGTTTGAGGCGGCACTTAAATGCCGACTCCTGGGTTGTGATTGGGGCAGGCAGTGTGCTGCCTGTGGCGTCTGCCCGCCGTCTCTCTTCTTGTGGGAAAACACTGTGTCAGTGAGAAGCATGTGCTGAACGGTGTTTGGCAAATTGGCTACTTGGGAGCTCAAGGCATTTAGACTATTCAGACCGGCATCCTGCATTCTGTCAAGAGAGGAAGTGGAATAAACAGAGGAGCCTTCCTCTCGGGATCCCTGGTTGATTTTACTTCGACCCACTGAAGGTAGACCGCTCCCTCCGACCGCATTCAGGCTGTGAGCTTTTTGGCTGCCACTGCTGCCGCAGCTACTGATGCTGCTGTTAGAGTTGGGGGTGGGACTTAACTGAGGCGCAGTTTGCAGTAACCGTCCGTGGCCATGGGTGCTACGAGTGCCGGACATAGATGGACCATGATTTGAGGCGTTTCCGAGAGCCTCTGAGACCCCCATGAGTGGGGAAGGAGAGGAGCTACAGCTGGGGGAATGAACTGCAGAGGCAGCAGGGGAAGGGTTGGATATGGGGCTGAAGTTTTGGTTCATGTGAGTTTGCTGTGCATTAGAATGCATAGGGGATTTAGCTATTTCTTGGGAGGATGGCTGAGCTATACTTGTGGTTGCGGCTTGATGATGTTTAGCATAAACAGCACCAGGAGATGGACCCTGGTGAGACATTTTCAGAGAAGCATCATAGCCGACCCCTGAACTATGCTGAGAGTTTCTGTGCTGTAGTGCGGCTTGTTTGTGGAGCGAATGAGGCTGCGGGAGGTATCCAGAATAATTTGAAGCTGGGTAACCCTGCTGAATGCTCTCCACTGGTCCAACATTGTTAGCAGCGCCTGCACTGGAGACTGAATTGGAGCTAGCAGGGACACTTTGGGAGCTGTTACCTTTAGGATCAAAGCTGGTGTTTGTAGCTCCGTCCAGATATCTGTGTGGAGGTGGGCTGTACATTCCAGACGACCCTGTTGATGCTCCCCCCTGTGGAGAGTAATGAGAGTACTGTGGGGTCATCCTATGCCCGGAGTGTTGGTAGCTTCTTTGCTGCTGTGCATGGTGGACAGGAGGAAAGCTCTGCCCATGCTGGCGCTGTGGCATTTGAGAACCTGGAACTGACTGCATCACGGGGTTCTGATTCATACTGTACTGATGAGAAGGAGAGAAGGCTCCGGCAGTTCCCACGGAACCAGCAGTAGAACCGTAATCCACTGGGTAAGGGGACATCAGGCCGGATGAGGCGGCAGGACTGGATCCAGGATGTCTATACTGGTGGGGTATATGTCCGTCAATACTTGGGTAACCGAAACCTCCACTGTAACCCATACCTCCCCTCCTGTGTCTGTCTTTTCCACACATTGAAAAATAATAATCCATAGCCTCCTTCCTGTAGGGGTTGTTGTTGTTTCCCGTGTGGAGGTTACCCTGTGTTGGCGGCGGCTCCAAAGCTCCTCTGTTTCTGGCGCCGTATGCGAGCATGTGGCTGGCTTGACTCGGGTGGTGGTGTCCTCTGTGAATGCTCTGCTGCTGCATCCCGACGTAATCTTCAGTCATCCTTGGAGAGATCTGGGGCTCCACCGGCTGAGGGGGATACGGCGGTCCACCCATGCTCCTCCCGCTGAATCCAGGAGGGATTGTGGGAGGAGCAGGGCTGTTGGGGAAATTCTGCATTTTTCTTTCCCCCCCGATGTCAGTTAAAAATAAAAAAAATCTCTCAGTGTCTATAGCAGGCACTCATTTGGCCTATAGATGCATTTGTTCTATTATTCAGTACTTTTTTATTATGACTCCTCCTGGTGTTCACCGTCTTCAGCATTCACTGCTGCTCCTCCTCGTCAACAGTTCCACGGCAACAGTTTTTCCAAAAATAGGGGTAATCCATTTATTCCAATTCAGATTCCATCAATCCCAGTTTGTGTATTCAGTAAATCCATTCACATGCGATACTTGTGCTCCCATCAGCTGGTGGTCTGTAGAGACAGAGAGACAAGCCAAAGGAATTAGGAACAATTTCTTAATGTTCATTGATTTAAAACTACAAATATTCTGCTGTGCATTATATAAAAAAAAAAAAAACACAAGATCATTTCAAATTTAATATGTTGATTTTTTTTTTAAATCAGGGCATTCCTGACTGATAAAACCTTTCAGACTACATTAGGACCTAATCATTTTTGATTTTGAGACATTGAACAATAAAACGGGGAAAACAACATGCAGACACATTTTTTTTTTTACCCCTACAGGGGTGGGGGACTAATTCAACCGGTATTTGCAGGAATTTCTCATGCTTGCATAAAGACTTTCATTCCAGACCTTTATATGACTTACTACACATAAATGTGCATCGTGCTATTTATGTGATTCCTTTATAACTCGAAAAGGGTGTGCGTTTCTGTTTTTTTGGGGAGGGGCTGTGAATAGGGGTTCTGTATTTTATCCAATCACTCAAAATAAAATAACCTAATTACATTGTTCGCCTTACTTGTTGTTGCATATTCATAAGCATTAATAATGCAGTTAAAACACAATTCTTTCAAGTGATATTTCATGTTTCTTTCCGAGGAGCTTTAGCTCCTAGAAACATGAACAAACATTATATTCCCAATCATATTTTAATATGCATGGTGAGAATATTGCATCTGTTCTTGCGTTAACAGTACATGCTCTATTCGTCTCCTGTGGCCTATTACAAACAGATTTATAGAAGAAAACAAAAAGTTTGATTTAAGTAACAATAACACATCAACTTCACCTAGATGTTTCATTATGTAAACAAATAACCTTGTTAATTTTCACATGCATTACACACACATAACACGGAGAAATGAAAAACAAAGAAACAAAACAAAGTTATTTGGGGAGATGGCTGGAGGCGGGGCAGTTCCAACTTTAATGGGGTCAGTGTCTTTATTTGGCATTTGTGACACTAGCCTCTTGTCAGTTTTAAATGCATTGTAAAACTGTTAATAGTCCCAAAACAGCTGTGTGTGGATTCTCAAACAAAAGGCAGCACAATGACAGGTTTGCTGTGAAATGCGAGACATGCAGTGAAACAGGGTCAGGAAAGGCTGCAAACCCACCTAATCAATCAAACAGACAAACATACTCTGCAACTTCAGCTGGACTCATTTGAATATGTCAGATTTTTAGGAACCAAATTAACAGGAAAACAGCTTTTTATAGGATTAATCATTTATAGAATCCATTTTTTATTCAAAAATTCTGTAGGTTTTTAAACCTACATTTTTAAAGATCTCAATTCATTTTTTTGAACTAATTGGAGAATAAATGTATGCAGTGGTCAAAACATGCAAAAACAGACACTTAAAGATAACAGATGCAAAGCTGGATGGATTGACAGACCCACAGATGGATGGACAAATGGATTCCTTTAATGATGGTTGACAAAATTTGGCCCTTTATCAGCTATTTATGCAGTTTATGATTAAGTAGCAGACAGCCGAGAGAAAAATAGGAAAGTTTGATCAAAAGAATGGATGGTGGAGGTTTGTTTATCCTCTAGTAAAGAAAATTGATGGATAATAAACAAAGAGATGGATAAATGAAAGGAAGATTTCAAAATGATGGACTATAAAAAGGATAGATAAATGATCATCATATAGATGAACTGATAATTAACAAATGGGTGTATGTAGAGAGAGACGAATCCATGAACATACATTAATATGCTCATTCATTAGGGAAACAGACCAGGAAACACTGAAAATATAAATAAAAGCATTTCCTCCTTATTTAACCACTAAATAACACTTGAATAATATATTAGCCAGACTGTGTAGGAAGCCTAAACATCTCATTGTGTGCTACAAGGCAGCAGCAGCATTTCCAGCCCACAAACAGTGCAGCAATAATAAAAAGTGGCTGCCTCAGTGCAGCCTGTCAGCCAGTCAATCACCAGCAGAGCTGCCTAATTGATGCAAGCAGACGCAGTGTTATTGCAGTGAAGGGGCCAGCTAGCTCTGGTTTGTTTTCTATGGTTCGTCATATTGCCATCAATGCCACATTGGAGGGGGGGCTCTATCGCTGCAGATATAGCAGCAATGAATACGCATTACAATTAGCTCCGTAGAGCCTCTTTTAGCCATGTCAGATTAGCCCTAGCTAAAGCACAGCAGATATCTCCAATTAAATATGCGAGCTAGCCACGTAAACTGCGAGCTAGCTAAAACGGAACCCCTCGATAACATCTTTGAGTCTGGATATTTGTATTTATGATATCATTAAGATGTCTTTATACACAGGCGTGTAGTTATAGCAGGCTAAAAAGGAGCAGCTACTGAGGAGAGGTGATTAGGTGCAGATGTTACTCCCTCTCTCAGTAAATGGGTTAGCTAGCAGCAGAAATAGCGTCTCCTACCAGGAGACCTGCCATGACTACTGCGTTACAAAAGCTGCCGTTACGCAGTCTGCCTTTTTTTTTTATCTCTCTCTCTCTCTCTCTAAATAAACACAGAAAACATTTCCCCCCCAAGCAGAGGCAAGTCAAGCAGAGACGGAGCTAGCTTAAACTCTGAAAGCATACCTGGAAACGCAGCGGTTACAGGCCCCGCGAAGAGTGAAAGGCTGTTTTTGTGACAATCCCGCTGCTGTGGCAGGAAACCCCAGCCTAGAGTCGACCCGCTCCGCCGCTTTTCCCCCCTCAGCCTCCTGAGTCCAGACAGCCGCGAACCAACCGGCGGCGGCGGCGAAGCAGGGGGCCCCCGTCACGACACCCAGATCCCGGGCCTTTTCTTCTTCTTCTTTTTTTCTTTTGTCCTTACACCTCCAGAAATGATGAGAGCGGAACACAATCGGGGAGCCTGTGGGTCCCGTAAGCAGTGAGGTCCATACACCCCCTCCCTCCCCTCTCTCTCTCTCCCCCCCTCTCTCTCCCTCACCTATGTGTCCAACTAAAATCAAACATCGCTTTCTCTCACGCCTCTTTTTTCGCGTCGTTTTTCCGTTTCTATAAACGCAACTCCACTCCTCTAGCAGCAGCTCCACTGTTTTTTTCTTCTTCTTCTTTTTCTTGCAACAGAAAGACCGCCTTGGAAATGCACACACTCATATTCCTGCACCCCCTCCCTCATCTCTCTCCATCACCCCTCCACCCCTCCTTCTCTCAAGCTTTAGCTTTTTTCATTGATCATGGCGAATTTCTGCCATAAAATCTAAATATTACCCCAATGCTACTAATGCATTTTTATTCTTTTTGCATAAGCACTGCTCTTTTGTTCATATTTCATGTCAAGTGAAAGTGAATTAGCCTGATGAAGGCAGCAGGGTACAAAGGCAATATGGAGAAGACCCAGGACTGAAAGCAGTAAGGGTTATGTCAGTAATGACCAGGGAAACAGAGAAAAGAACAATCAGGAAAAAAATAGCTATGGCTACATTAGAGAGATTACAGTGTAATGGTTAGAGCTTTAAAAGATGCTGGAAAAACATCCAATAATTATTAAATATTGGTAATTAAGTATGGGTTTCCACTGCTCAATTTCAAAACGAGCAGACATAAGGAGTAGAACAAAATGTTTGATTCTGCTTTGCATGTATTTCGTTAGAGGACATAAGAGGCACAATAGTTTAGCTGACATTAGTAAATATTTGTGCAGATGACTAAAAAGCAATCATGGTCCATGAGCTGCAAGATGTTCAAACTGTAAGAATGATAAGAGAATCATTAAGCGAGCTGCCAAACAGTGCCATGGAATTGGAACACATGGAACCGGTTCTAAACAGGAACCGGTTTTTGATTCCCATCCCTATCCATGAGCTGCAATATGTTCAAACTGGAGTAAGAACGATGCTTGTGGTCGATATTAGTCTTTTTCTTGTATCAGCATCAGCCGATGCATGCGTTGGCCGATTTATTGGCCCATTCATCAGTCTTATCTTGAAATCAAGTGAAGCGCATACATCGCCATCCCCTCCATCGGCTGATTATTGTTGTTTGATTTGTTAAGAAATCAATGTCTTTTATCTGAAATTAGCCTTGTGTAACATTTGCTTTATTTACTTTTTATCATGTAAAAATTGAGGTAGGAAAAGCAATATTGGTTCTAAGAATTTGATTCATTCATTGGCACATTCATCAGTCTTATCTTGAGATCAAGTGAAGTGCATGCATTGCCGTTAGGGTTGGGAATTGATAAGATTTTAACGATTCCCATGTCTTTATCAATTCTGTGAAATGATTCGATTCCTTATTGATTCTCTTATCGATTGGGTGAAACAATGAACTTGGTAAGTGCACTGTGACATTCGTCTACCTTCACCTGGGACACTATTCCTGCCTGCCTCGGCAAAAACAGAAGGCAGTGAATGGTAGAGGTGGGCAATACTGGTCCTTTTTAATCGATATGATACCAAGTACATACAGGGTCAGTATCGCCGATATCGATACGATACCGATACTTGTTGAGATTTAAGCTTTATGTATTTATTGGGACAATGAGCGAAGTTTCGTCTCCTCTCTCTGTTTCTCTCTGTGCTTATATAAACTTGTTGTGTTTCCACTGCATTTTTACAAGCCATACAGCTTGCTGTTGTTTCATTTACATAATGCGGAACAGCAGTGTAGTTGTATGTGTTAAGTGGAGAGAGAGCCGAGTGGGCGGGGCCATGCTGAGCCCGCGCGTGCTGAGCCGGTGACGAGAGGGGAGGAGGGAGCAGCAAAGCGATGTTACAAAGGCGGGCAGACTGGTCAATCTGCTGCAGTTAATGTGTGCCGGAGAGAAGAAGAAGTATCGATCTTGTTTAACCAATATTGTTCGATATCAATACCAGAGTTGGTATAGATAGTATCGATCCTAGGATGGATCCGCCCACCTCTAGTGAACAGGAGCTGCCAACCTCTGAGCCAGCCAGGCTATCCGTCTTGTCACAGTCATCTAAATCTGATGGAGAAGGCATCTCTTTAATAAAAAAGCATTACTGTAAAATTTTGGGGAATAAACTCATCTCCCCCTGATTGAAATAAACAAGCGTCACTCTTCTGTCGCTCCCTAAACTGCGCAGCAACTTGTAGCATGTTTCGTTACATCCATTGCATGTAAGAATTCCACCTATCAGTAGTATAAAATGCTATCAATAAATATCTGGATTAACGAGAAAGGCGCACTCCAAAAGAGAGGTAGGAAATTGGTTTATTTCCAGAAATGGCATATGATTTACTAGGAACCACATTAAGCACAGCCAGTGATATAAAACTAGCTACTTACCACCAGAGTTGCCTTCCATGATGGTCGTAAGCATCAAAAACATGGCATTCGTTAAAATGTATGCCATGTTGTGCGCGCAGGTGTTTCTGCATGTTGGATGTATTTCCTCCAGCGGATGTAATTGCCACTTTGCAATGACTGCAAAATACCTTGTTGCCATCTTTCTCTTCCTTAAAATTAAGCCAAACTTTCGATCGCTTTGACCGCTTTTGTTTTGCTTTACTAGACTTACGCCTGGTCACGTCGTACGTGCTTACTGAATGCCATGTGCGTAACTTGCGTCAAAAATGTGACCTAAGTCGTGATACCGAGAGCCATGCTCTGGTGCTGCCTGGAATCGATAAGAGAATTGTTAAGCGAGCTGCCAAGCGGTGCCATGGAATTGGAACACACTGAACCAGTTCTGAACAGGAACCGGTTTTTGATTCCCATCCCTATCCATGAGCTGCAATATGTTCAAACTGGAGTAAGAACGATACTTGTGGTCAATATTAGAGGCCTTATCTTGTATCAGCATCAGCCGATGCATGCATTGGCTGATTCATTAGCCCATTCATCAGTCTTATCTAGAGAACAAGTGAAGCGCATGCATCGCCTTCCCCTTCATCGGATGTTTATTGTTGATGTTTTGTTCGATTTGTTAAGAAATCTATCTCTTTTATCTGAAATTAGCCTTGTGTAACATTTGCTTTCTTTATTTACTTTTTTATCATTTAAAAATGGAGGTAGGAAAAGCAGTATTTCTAAGAATCTGCCCAAAATATCAGCTACACATGTGTCAAAATAATTGATATTGGCATCATTCCTAGAAAAAAAAAAATCAATCATCTAGTGTTATTTTAAACATGTGTATAATTGAGATGTGATTGTGTTTATATTTGTGCCCTCTCCGCTAATATAGAAGGGACTTTGGCATGTTTTTTTTTTTCTCCCGAGAGGGCACTTTAGCACGTGTTTTGGCTCCAGAGAAGGTAGCTTGGCACAGATTTTGGCTCCCATGAGGGCACTTAAGCACATGTTTTGGCTCCTGAAGGACACTTTGGCGCATTTGGGGTCCCAAGAGGGCAATTTATCATGTGTTTTGGGTCCCTAGAGGACATTTAAGCATATGTTTTGGCTCTCGAGAGGAGACTTTTGCACCTGTTTTGGCTTTGGTGCTAAAACCCGTGCTAATATTCGTTAGCACTGGTTTTAGCACCCAAGAGGGCACTTTTGAATTTTTTTAAAGAAAATAATAATCTGACTACACTGGTATTTTCAGGGTTAAAGCTTTATGAAAACTGAAGGAGACTCAAAATCCCGATCGGTACCTAAAGCAGACAGTGAGAACGATCGTCTTTGAAACATGAAATTATTTGAATGTTTGACATCCCTTTGTAAATTTCATCCTCTGATTGTTTCTTTTTTGTGTGTGCATATTTTCCACTTTTAGTATGGATACATACCGGTAAAAAAAAAACAACAGATCACATAAATGTTAGCTCCTTGAGAAGAAAAGTACTCCAATTCTAAGTATAACTTGAAGATATTTATTAACCCCCAGTCTATTACCTATTACTACTGGGACAACAATGGAGGTGAAACAAGAAGCAACCTTTTCCTGGTTTAATTTATGGTGTTGTCTCTGACTTGGCTTATCTTCACTAACACAGGGCCCTCAAGCTAGGCACAGTCTCCAGTCATCGTAATGATGCGCCCTATGCCCCTCCCATCAAGGCTGCTGCACTTTTAATATACTGCTGTGTGCCAGACGTGCAGCCTCTCACTTTCACATGCGGTCACCATATCATGCATCCATATGTAAAACTGACATATGGACTATAGACCCAAGCCCTCATTCACAAACAGTAGCTGCCCTGTTGTCCTTATTCATCCAAACACTTAACCTGTCAATCACAGGCCAACATCGCTCGCTGTTTCCAACCAACACTTTAATACATTTCATTCCCGTGCAGATGCACATCTATTTCTATCATTGTTGCCATAGCAACTGCATCACAGCGCCTTAACGGGGGGATAATTTTAAGGCTGCATTTGCTCTTTATTTTCATTGACGATTTCATGCAGGCTCTCTTTCTTTGTCGGCACAAACGAATCCCTCATGAGCGGCTAGGGGTTTTAACAACAACAACAAAAAAAGTCGACAGGAAGAAGCAGAGGGGCAAGATGAAGAGGCTGAGATACCGAGGACCAACAAGCCAGGCAGCCAGGCCTGTCCAATCAACAGGAATGCCTGCTGAGAAACACTCAGAGTCTCTCCATCAGAGACAAGGTCAGAAAATCTTCCACAGAGGAGGATCAAAGAGCACAGATGTGAGGAAGGCAACCGGTTTGGCACACAGCATCACAAGGTTTTAAACATCCAGGGATAAACAAAAGTAGAAAGACAGGAGAGTGAAAACTGCATTAAAACACCTTTAAAAGGGATCGGTCCAGATTTTCTACAGAGAGTTTATAAGTAGTCGATATCTAACCTGCAGTAGATGGGACCCTTGGCATCTCTATTTTATATGAATCAAAATTCTCACTTATGCCTGGCAGTTGTATTTTGTTTGTGTGCATATACAACAATTCAAAGCAGTTCAAAGCAATTTGTTTGAGCTCAACTAAACTAAAAA